TATATATATATATATATATATATATATATACACACACACACAACTTTTCATCATGTATATATATATATACATTTATCTTTCTTAATGCAACTTATGAAAATTACATTTAGCAAAGTTCCATAACTTCCATAATCCTGAACTTGTCAATTTTTTAGTGAATTTACTGCAGATCACTTTCATTCATCCTAATAAGATGCTTTAAGTCTTACCATTAATGGCAGGGAACAAATGACAAATATGACTGTCATGAAGACCAGGAGAATGAGGTGTTCCACCTCCTCTGCCCATGAGAAGTACCTCCTGTCCCTTTTACTCCGGGTCTGCACTGATCCTCTGTTCATTTTGCGCCTCCGGTACATTAACACCAGATGGTAAACTACAAAACAGTTGCATGCCACTATAACTATAACAATAAGCAGCATCACAGTGGCATAAACGTTGGCATAAACCCGGTCCTCCATCCCCTCTGGATTCATGGCAATAAAGCACCATGTCCCGGGACAGTATTGCACATATTTCCCAAAGCCTGCAAATGGCATTAAGCAAAATAAAAAGCAGATTAGATAAATGCAAGGGACGGTGATGTATCCGCAGCGTTTAGTGACATGCCTCCCGTAGTGGTATGGGTACCCGATGGAGAGGCACCTCTCCAGTGCCATGGCGAGGAGGATGGAGAGCGTCGCCAGACTGAAGAAAGTCATGGCAAATCCAAAATATTCACACACCGCACGTGTCTCGCTCATCCCAACTAGTGTGGTGTTGGTTAAGTATGCAGTCTGAACCAGGGGACTGATCAAGCAGGTTCCCATTAGATCCATAACGACCAGCGTGGTCAGCAGCAAATGGAACAGAGACTGTCGCTGCCGGTTCTTCTCTTTCCTCCTGCGGAACTCCAGGAGAACTAATGCAACCAGATTCCCGAGAACTCCAGCTGCAAACATCATCGCGCTGATGGCTGGGCCACCGTTCTGCTCCACACTCAGACTTTCAGTGCAACTTTTGTTTTCTGTGCCCATCACTGCCAGAGATATACCGAAACTCCTATTGTAGATCTTCTTGGAACTTCTCCAAGCTTCCTTGAATTAGCTTAGGTTGGCATGTTTAAAAGCAAACTCTATATTAGAAAAACTGCGTTCAATTAGTCTGTTCTTCTTTCTGGGCGTAGAATCTGAAACACTTAAAGGTGGTTCACCAAGGTAAAGGAATGGAGTTCATCAGTGGAAGCATGGTGTGTTCCAAAATACAGATCCATACAAGTATTTCAATGCCTCTGGAGTCAGACAGACTTGCCTCTTAGCCTGCCCCATGCTCTTGAAGGCAAAAAGGCAGTGGGAGAATGTAGTGTGAGCCATGAGATCCTCTGCTGAATGAGCTGTTGGCTGGTGAAACAACGTCATTGTCTTGACCCCACCCTCAACACACACACACACACACACACACACTGATCCAGACACAGCAATGAGAAATTCGAGCTTCCTTTAAACCTCATGTGCCGTTGAGACTTTACTTCCTGCATGTTTGGGGTCCTGCACTGTATAAAAATAATAATAATCAAATAGCTATTATAATGCTAAAAACTTAAAAAGTAAGCTTGAATGGGTCTCTTAAGGGTTACATGTGCTATAAGCAGTTGAATTTGCCTTTAAGAAAGACTGCTCTTTAAAATGACCATTGATTAAATAATGACCACTAATCCTTGAAATTACCACTATTTTAAAATGACCATCATGCAACCAAAGACTACATGGAAAGAAGGATCCCAAATAATCGGTGACTTAAAATTATTATTTTTAAATGTTATAATTAAATTGCATATTTTTTATAGAATTGTTAGAGCTTAAAATTCGATTTAGTTAAATCAATAGATTTAATTAATAGTTTTAATATCTTATGAATGAATGAATGAATGAATGAATGAATGAATAAATAAATAAATAAATTTGTTCGCCAAAATTTTGTTCACTAATTGCTTTTGAGTAACTTTTTTTTTTTAAAGAAACTCATACTTTTATTAAGCAATGGTTTGATCAAAAGATTTCTATTTCAAATGAATGCTTTTCTCTTGAACTTTCTGTACGTAATAGAATCCTGTAAAAATGTAACTTTCCACGAAAACATTATGCAACACAACTGTTTTCAACATTGTTAATCATAAGAAATGTTTCTTAAGCTCCAAATCAGCATATTCGAAAATATTTAGAAAATGGCCCATGAAAGTTTATCTTAGTTGGCATGTTTTCCAACAGTTATCGTATCTGTGGTCCTCTTTGCTTTATATTCACATAATTAAGCCTAATTCCTCTAGCTGTAACAGACGTTTATGAATGCTGAAAGATGTTAGAATTTTTCATGGCTTTTAAGGTTGGGCATGTACAGATCTGAGCTCACAACATGCTGCTACGCGTTTAAGTCTTGCCAGAAGGGAATTTTGTGCTCTTTTACTTTAGGGCTTCCTGGTCCTTTCTGTGCAATGTTATGTTTTATGATATGATAAAACAGCATTTAAACATTTACAATGACATTTTACACACACACACACACACACACACACACACACACGCACGCACACACACA